CGTCGTCGGATGGAGGGATCACTCAAGTGTTTTGTCTTATCAAAATCCACCTTTAAAAAAATAGGAATAACCACTTCAAATACAATGTAGATTAAAACATTAAAAATTAATGGAAGGAGGTTAACAAATATGATTACCTTTATATTTGCAGTATACGACTTGTCACCTTCCTTACGTAACAACTTCATTCCACGGAGAGCATCCATTGCTTTGACAAAACAGATGTATTCCTTAAACTGAACATAACCTTCAAAGGAAAGATCCTGTCCAAAGGAAAATGTTTTCATCCCAGATACATGAGCCTTCATTTTGCTTCGATGTGGATCTGCTATAGGAATATCCACACATCTAACTTCTCCAAATACTTCAAACACTTTTTTTAAAACATATTCACTGGGCAATTCATTGCCTTTGGTCTTATCTTGCTTAGTTGTAAACCATTTGCTGGGCAAATTACATATGTGTATTGTATCTGGTCTTTCCCCTGGTTTCATTTCATTCATATTTCTGGCATCACGAAAATATGAATCCCATGTGTGTCTGCACGTACCTTAAGAAGTTCAGAGAAGCCTGACAGTTTTATTGTTCTTGTATCTAGACGGGCTATAACACTGGTAAGTTTTGATTTGTTTTCAATTTCTGCTTCAAATCTGATGAACTCCAATGTGCTTTTGGAAACTTTTAACACAATAAACTCTTCTGGTTTTGTCATATTTTTCAGCTTTTCCATTACTTCCCAATTCGAAATTGTTTTTCCTGGAAGCTTCATTTGTGGAAGTTGAACAGAAATGTTCAGGCGTGCAATCGGTTTTAAATACAATGACTGAGGCTGGAATAATTCAATGGCATCGTTTGTGTCATTGCAACTTTGAAATACATTCATGTTAACCTTAATCCCCTTTGTAGAGTCAATACATTGGGTATCATAAAACTATTTCTTTAAACTCCAACATACAGACAGAAAAATAAAACAAGCGAATAAATCTGATTCAAGATGTATGGTACTTATGTTACAAAAGATTTGTAATATGAAAGCAGTATTTCTCCGTAAAATAAATAATGTAACTTGTCACGAGAGCCATGTTGCTTACACACAAGTTAGCCAATTGTATTTCCCATCAGAGAACAGGTTACTATCGTTGGAGTGTTAAATTTCCCTCTCGCTTTATTCTTACGACCGAATTATTTTAATACATGATTGTAGCTGGAAAATTTGTAGATAAATAGCCTCATAGGAGATCTAGGCATAAAAGGAATGACAATATTAAAGTGGATCTTAAGGTAACTAGGTTTAAGGATGTTTTCTGGATTCATGTATTTCAAGACAGGTTTCAAGGTGAACACCACACAAACTTTCTTGTGCTATATAAAAGGCTAATAATTTCTGGAGCACCTGAGAGGCTGTAACTATGTTTCATATAGTCAGGCTAACAATATACCAATAACTAATTCATGTAAAATGGCAGGGTGCACTAACTTTTGAAAGCACTTTCTACATTTTGTTTGGTGCATACTAATTATTATTGTTTTATGATCTGATAAAGGAACGTAAACCATGGTTTTACGAAAAATGGTTAAAATTATTAAATCAAAGGAAGAAGGCTAATTTGAAATGGTTGCCGATCGAAGCAAAACGAGTGGTAATGCTCCGGAGTTGTGAGAGACATATCTGGTTCAAATACTGGCAGGGGTATTCGCTATTATGACAGTTTTTTTCACTCATATTTTATGCCAAAAAATTTTACAACTTAAAAAAGTACCAGTATGGGAATTAAGTGTAGCTTTAAAATTTAGTACCTTAGGTCCTGCCAAGGCAATTTTTTTAAAATTGATCTCTCTTTACTGCACAGCAAGAAAAGAACTTGACTCTTTTAATAAAATTATTTCAAACAAAATTATTTTAAGACATTCTCTTGCAGAACTTGTCGTTATATTGTATTCACATTCTACAGAAGCATGAGCAAGTGAGGCAGAGACATCTGGGGGTAAAATTAGAAAGTAACATCTAAATATTACACGCTGCTTGATTCGTTTTGTTTTTAGTTTTCAATTCTTTCCGCGCTCTTTCCTTGAACGCTAGTTATTTTGAGGCAGACATTTTTGGAAACTTTTACATAGTGTTCCGAATTTTTGGAGAGAGATGTGCAGCCGAATTCCACCCGCTTCTTTATTCGTTGTAGATTCTGGTTTGTTCGCTTAAACCCGTCACATTTTAAATCCTTGTGTAAGATTGTATTTTTACAAAATATGGCTTTTGTTCTGTGTGGGCCAGTAATCTTATCATAATGCTAAGATATTTTAATAATCATAACAACATGCCGTTCTTGTGTTATGTAGCAAACATTTCTTTCATATAAAAAATTGTGTCCTAATTTTATAATGCTAATTTCCTAACCGAAGGCGTGACAGTTGTGAACTTGGGACGCTCTGTAACTCTTCATATCTTGAGAGAGGTAGTGCATAGAAGAGTAGAATTAAATGGGGCAAACATTCTTAAAGCTAGATTTAGCATAAAAAATTCATTGAATGAAAAACATAATTTTTAAAATTTCTTAAAACATTTATAAATTCAACGGTAGACCCATTTGAACACGATTTTATCTGAAACAGGCGTATTCAAATTTTATAGATGGCTTGTGCGGTCTGTGCAACACGAAGTTCCCCTCCCCCATGTCTTATTTGCTACGTCACGGAGTTGTAGTGAAGCTTGTGTGTGCTGTACTAAAAAAAATCAGTGTATTCTTCAAGACTTTGCGGCCTGGTCGTAAGGTGGTAATTGACTGGTTGTGTAGTCGGACGTGAACCAAATCGAGAGCTCGCCGAAACTCCTGATGTAAGGACGTACAATTTGTTGTAGTCGAAGCCTTATTAAACTGGTGTTCTTGATTGCAGTTTCACGTTATGTTTCTTGTTTGCATATGGAATCGTAAGTTTATAGAATATAATATTCTTAGTATGGTACATAATCAATAATCAATTGCGGAAGAATTAACCATTTTTAGTTAAATGTTTCCACATGCAATTATTGCCCCAAAAATTCGGCGCGAGACAGTCTCGCGCTTTATATAGAATTTGTAAGGACGCTCAAGATGATGTGTGCCCTGGGAACCGCCCTGAAATTATCGCTTCTGATTGGCCAAAGTTATTCCATGTCCATATATGGGAGACACCTGCATGCTTTGTTTAGTCTAACATGGAGACCCTTTTAACGCTAACGCACGCAGTTTGGGAGCGATCCTTAACACTGCATCGTCATCAAAATTCCAAAGACTGCCCGATGCTTCACACCAGATGTTGGGCAACTACAATTACTATTAACTAGTTTAAAAACATGGGGTCCAAATAAGGGTCAACACAGTAGTGCAACATCAACGATATGTAGAATTTAATACGAAAAGACCGTCATAATGAATTTACTTTATTTTGTATCCATTGTTATTTCAGGGTGCAGATAGGACGTGAGAGTGTCACGTGAAGGTATTTTCGAAATACCGGTTGGGAGGGAACTCGATATGTCACTTCATTTAACGAGTTGGTTACAGATTTTAATATGCCTATAAATCCAATTAGAATGCAGATTTAGATATAATTGACTTAAATTTTAAAATCATATTTCTGTAGGGCAGAAAATAAACACTTTAACGTAGTGCAGTTAATTTTATGATATTTCAATGGATTTACTTATGGAGTCAACGAATGAAAATGATTTATATTTTCCTCCATTTGACGCTGCCAGCTCCTTTTATCGTGTCTGGTGATTATTAAGGCTGTGGGGAAAGGGGGTTGGCTAATGAGTCTGCTGTTTTTAAACGGCAAGTATTAGGATCGAGGGAGGGGAAGTTAGAACAGATGGAGGGGGATATGTATGTTTCAGGGAGTCGGAGGGGGAAAAACAATGCTTTAGGAGGTTATGATTGATTATGCGATTTTTAGCGATGGTTGAATGTAATTATAGATCAGACAAAATATGTGGAAATAATGATTAACTGTGGACATTCTTAAATGTGGTTGGTGACCTCAGAAATTAAACATAAATTGGGCATAAGCCCCACTTAACTAGTAACTACCAAATTTCATGTATTTGTTGAAATGTAATTTTTTTAAAGTATGGTTTGGTTAGTGAACTGCGTGAAATGAGGTTGGCGAGGTTTCAGAGGGTTTTAAAGATTTTTAACATTTTCAAATCTATGGAAGATTGTTGGTTTGCATGTTACAGTATATCGAGTTATTGACATGAAACTTTTATGGAATAGCGCTTTTCTTAACAACATACTGTAAAACTAAAAGTTAACATCTGAAAGCCCAAAAATTGTAGTAATAGCACACACCTTAGTTTATTATGCCTTTGACCCTGACACAATAACGTGAATTGTCTGTGGTCATTGAGCGCATCTTTAATTTATAATTAGATTGTTTATTTGTTACAGAATTAGTGTCTGGCTGCACACTAACAAACCTTCGACTTGGAAGAAAACTGGACGCAAAAATCTGGGATGATGGAGATTTAAAAAGTAATACAAAACCAATACACAATGATAATAACAGATAAATAAGACTGTACTGGATTGCATAATTGTGGTCCACACTAATGAATTGAAGTTAATGAGGCTTTCATTTTGTATCGAAGAAATTATAAGATATTAATTACTGAACTTTGTCATTGTATTGTCATTTTAGTAATTAGGCAAATATGTTTTTAGGAACTTATTTATCGATAATATTGAAATCCTATTTTATCATTGATATCAATTCATGAAAAAGATTAACTGTGTTTGAATGAACAATTTAACTCATTATGTTCCTAAAATGTCTCTTAAAATACTGCAGCGTGAAAAATATTCTATAGCATTACAAAAATATTTCTTGTTGTGTGGCATACTTAAAGGGCATGCCAAATTAACAAAAATTAACTTCCTTTTAATCTAATATTTATTGCCTATAATCTGTTTATTGGGATAGGATGGTTCTGACTCCTTTAGACAGCTCAAAATGTTACTGAATATGTATATACAATTATGAGAGAATTATCTAATTAGATGCATGAAAGTAACTCTTTTCTAAGTGTTACAATACTAAAGCTATAACATTAATAGCGGCCAGTATCTTTGACCGTATGAGTTTTCTATATCAGAATTTAATCATAAAAAGTAAATATGTGCAATTCTTCTCCTTAAGTTTTCTCAGCCGGAGTTTGTGTGTAACTTCAGCTTTGGAGACTGGCAATGCAGAATGCTGATAGTTATCCAGTACTTGCTGAAATGCTGGATAATTATCAACATTCTGTGTGGCCTATCCCCAAAAGCCAACATTAAACAGTTTTGTTGTGTGCATACGAGATTCTATTCCTAATTGTTCTGAATAGATGAAAGTAAGTCATTGAATTAACACACAATAAATGAACAGAAATTTCCGTCGTAAAGATGTTTGGACACTTCAAGTAGAATTGCAGAATTATCAATAAAGACCACAAAACAAGAAATGGAAAGTGGAACAGTTGACTGCTGCCAGTTGATTTGCAGGTGTGCGTCTTGGAATTGCGAGGAGAACTGGCTGGCCTTCATGGGACAGTTGGCAACTGCATCTTCGAGAATGCAACGTTATCATCAGTATCATCCCTGCGACAATATAGCTGCCTTCATCTGTTATTCACTGCAGTACAGGACATCAGGGGACCTCATCAAACAGTAGGACTGCGACAAGTTTTATGGTGGTACCACAGAACCAGGGCCGCGTAACCATCCATACCAGTCGTGGATGGGGAAATCAGTAGAATGAATGTATGTGTACTTCAGAGCATTGCTGCTAATGCCCTAGAATACTCTGAGGTTCCTCTGTATGTTACTTTGCTTGAGCTAACCAGAAACTAAAATCATAAAGAGTACATTTTTTATGATATCTATTTTACAAAATATTAGCTTTTATTCTGAATAAACTATAAGTTAAAATCTTGTTAAACTTAGAAGTATTATGAATGGACAGTTTATTAGATTCAGCTTTGCCTTCTCACATGATCAGAAAATAGTTTCTACTTAGAAGTTTCCTAACCATAATTACTATCCCTGCATACATTCTACCTCCATCTGTTAAGAGGTTGGAGAGTTTTCACCAGCACTGATGTAGTCCAGCAAATCTGCTCCTTGAACCATGTCTCTGCTGGCTAAAGATTTTCCAGTCTCCGCAGATACAGATTTGTTACATAATGCGGTTTTGTTGCCGAGCATTGTTTCAAGTTTAAAAATAACACACCACAAACAGGAATTTGAATCAAACAGTTGTAAATTTCAACTGGTGTCTTCAGATTTGTAATTTCCATTGTACACAAAACTGAAGGAATGTGGTACATGGAACTTAGCTGGTATGGAGTTACAAGTGTCAGGCTGTGGTACGCAAATATGTTATGTCATGCTAACTGTGTTTCTGTTACAGGTATATTATGTACTTTTATCACAATGTGGTTTCTGGCTGCATCTTGCATGGCAGTGACCAAAATCAGCTGATACGACCAAGAAGCAGAACTTCAGTGGAATAAAACTTTGCTGATTCTGTTTTCTTAATCATCTGACTGATGTTTGGCTCTGTCTATGAGTTAATTTTCTGCTGTTTGTCATTGTGTTATTGATCAACTTTTTATCGTTACCTAACCTCAAAATCTGCTGTTGATAGCCGGGATAGCTCAGTCAGTATAGTGATTAGCTATGGGCTGGGCGATCGGGGTTCGATCCCTGACGGGGGCAGTGGATTTTTCCTCTAGTCTCTACATCCAGACCGGCTCTGAGGCCCACCAGCCTCCTGTCCAATGGGTACCAGGATCCTTTCCCGGGGGTAAAGCACGGCCGGGGCGTGATGCTGACCGCTCACCCCCATCTAGTGCCGAGGTCAAGAAAGAGTAGGAGCTATACCTCCGCTCCCCCCAAACAACCTACATAGCGTGTAGCGGGACAGCTTTACTTACTTACTTAGCCAAATACAATATAATGAACTTGCAGCTGTTCTCCATCTTCAGAATTTCATCCCTTTGTGCTTTCAATTGTCAGGTAATTGCAGTGGGATGTGGGGGGTAGGAAGCGTACCAAGATGGTCAGAGTAATTTCAAATTCTGAATTTATGGAAGTGTGGAATAATATAAATATAGTTTACACCAGTTGATGAAAGACTCTCGGGTTACAAGCTGCAGCTTGTAACCTGAGAGTCTTTGGGCTACCAGCTGTCTTAGGTGGTTGAAAGGCAAAAATACCAATGTTTTGAGAACCATCTTTGTTCTTGACCTCAGCGTACTGAAGTGGTTATATATATATATATAGCGCAGACTGGAATTCCAACCACTTGAGTATTTTGAGGATGAAGATGGTTCTGGAAATGGTGTTTTCACCTTTCAACCACCTAACACAGCTAGCTCAAGAAGAATTCATTATATCATGGATTTTCTTCGCTCACAACCAGAATATGAACCTATCGTTTTCTAAAATATATTAAAACAATATAATTAATCTCATTGCAATGAGTAAATAACTATTATAAGATTTATTCATGAACTCTTCCCTACATAACTTCATATTCACATACATTTATGCACATGCGCACATACACACACACATAACATGAGCACATTGTGACAAATTATTACTATCACTAAAAATACATGAACATGAGTTTGAATGCGGTCTCCATTAGTTCTGATTTCATTTATCTGCAGTTTATTGTTGAGAATAGGTGGAAATTACTTTTCTATGTTAGAAACCATTCTTAACATGCACCCGATACAGCGTACGTCAAGATTACCTTTGATCCATTAATTTTAGAGAAAAAGTGTTAATAAAGGTTTCCCCTAATTAGACCAATGACTTTTATCTGAAAGTTCTTTTAAGTAATGTAATAGTATGCTAAAACACATTTATTCCCATAAATGTATACTTACAAGATTTTTTTTATTATCATCTAAACTGCCATTCAGTCTCTTGTTAGGACCTCTAATTTCATATCATAAATATCTGTTCATCAGTTCTCCTGAGTAAAACCATGTGGATGGATGCACAGACATGATCAGAGTTCCTCACAAAGGCTATTTTCTTACTGTGCGAACACATAATTCAGCAAATTACATGGTCTTAATATTACATTTACGTAATCTGAATTTACGTATATTAATAATTAAATGAAATATAACTCATTTTCTACAACAACAAAATAAATTGAGAATAATGGAAATGGATTTCCTAAGAATTTCCAGAAGAGAGAGAGTGAGAAACGAAAGGATTAGAGAAATCATGAGGATGGATCGAGATATAATTGAGGAGATAGAGAAAAGACAACTGACACGTGCAAAGGATGGAGGAGGAAATGTTACCAAAGAAGACTATGAAATGGCAACCAAAAGAGAGAAGGAAGAGAGGAAGACCAAGACCAGGATGGAACGACGGAATTACAAGAACCATGAAAGAGTGGAAACTACCTCCGGAAGGATGGGAAAATAGAGAAGAATGGAAGAAAATATTAGGCACCGGAAGACCGAAGTAACGCTCAAGAAACGGAAGAAGAAGAAGAATAACTCATATTCTTATGTGTTGGACACACAGCATCAAATTGTGGATGAGATGAATTTTTATTGCTTCCATGGTTAGATATGTTACAGATTATAATTGTTAATACCTCAGTATTATTTTATTCTTGGTAATACTTTTTTCTTGAGTGCAGATTTCATCTAGTTATGTTCAAACTTGTATTTTAAATGGTCCTGCTCACTTTGCCATTATGAATTTCTGAGGAGTTTTGAAGTATCCCTTCTTACAAAAGTATAGTGTTTATTTTCATATACTAATATTAATTATGTATTTAAATTTTCAAATTAATTAAAATTAGAGATAGTGGATTCTTTTTCGCTTGGCCATTGTGACACTTGACTGTAAAATTTTTATTAACAAAACATAAATAACACTTTGAACTTTAAATCTATTATTCTTGAAATGAATTAAAGTAAAAGAGAAGAAATATTGTAATCGATGCATGGCCTTCAAACACATATGGAATCATAGAAATTTGTTTTTACAACAGAAGGGTTCTATTGATACAGGCTGAAAACATGCAACCTTCCTAGATCATTAAGTTAAATCATAAGAATAATTTTTATTTGGGAATGATAATTAAAACTAATAGACTGAAATTTTATATTTTTATTTCATAAGCTGAGAAATATCTGTGGTGATATAGAAATATCAAGTAAAGAATAAGGATTCTTGTTCTAGATAGTCTGTTGGCTGTATGCAGACAAAATACATAGTGCAGCAATCCAAAATACCATCTCTGTTCACATGATATGAAAACCTAAAATTCTACATCAAGTACAAAAACGTTGAAATAAAAATACGTATCCTTACAGCCCCATATCATTAATGCCCCATTTACTACTATTGTTACCGTAATAAGAGATGAAAGCAAATATTCACAGAAGTAGATCATCGGTTTTAAAAAAATAAATGTACGTGGAAAGTTGGAACCATTCAGATACAGGGCATGTCCTCTGGAGTGACGTAATTGTCAACTGTAACCACTTTCTCCGACACTGTCTCATATGTGCGTCTGCATGTTGGCCCCACCTCCAAGAACACCCTTGTAATGCAGAAGAAACTTGTTGGCAAGTCGTCTGCTACTCCGGTTTCTTTGTAGTCCGTGATTGTTACCATCTGGCATGACTTGTTCTAGAAGGACAACAGTTGTTTTCTCATCATTCACGTCTCCCTGGCGTAGAGTCACTGATGACCGGGTTGAACCTCTGTTCATTACCACCCTTCTACTTCCTCCCCTGTCCTCAATAACACTCGTGTTGTTTGCTATACTGCGGCCAGCCATGGATCCGTCTCTGAAACAAGCGGTCAGTGGATACGATAACACTAATCATTTGCGTTTGAAACTGTTTCTTCACGCTACAGTCAAACAGAGAAGAACAAAGAATTTTTCATATCTTACAAAGCACGACAGTGAGTTATACTGATGCATGAAGAGGTTATGTAATGTAACTGAAATGGAAACATGCTCAAGGCTGGTGAGTTATGGGTTTGGCCTGTTTATGCTATCCTGTCATTTACTTGAAGGATAAAAATATTTTAGGACAGTTGGTACTCTGGTCAAGATTCAGACAGGGTGCCTTCTGAATACTTCTCGTACACCACACTTCAGTCACTGCTAACGTGGTGCAGTTAGGGTTTCAGCAGGCTGGACATGGTTTTAATACAAAGTTACTATACTAGTAGATGTGTTTATATTACGTCACATAGGCCTTGCTTCCAGAATGTTAGATACTGTGATTCAGCAGTTGGTATTAACCATAAACAAGCCATTAGTTGCCATATTATTTTCTGTATTACTGTTACCAAAAATTCTCATAATGTTGAACAGTATTAAAAAAATCTAGCACCTACGATTTTCAAGCGATGCAGAGTGAAGATGATGATAAATCATTTGATCATTTGCCGTTTCCAGTTTTTGCTTTGAAATACTGAAATATGATGATGGGTTTGCAAAAAAATATGTCTGTGATGATGTTCTGAAGACGCACCTCTTACATTGTGTTAAACATTGCCCATCTTCTATACTGCAGTCATTTCTAACATGCTGTCTTTATAACTAATGAATGTTATAAAATGTATATGTAATGTAATAAAACATAAAGATCCAAATTTAGACTATTAACTTATTTATGGCAATGTCTTTCAAAATGGCGTTTACATGCCAATGAAAACAATTTAAAATTTTCATTTCTTAAATATCCTGGAAAGAACACAATACATATTTACCTGTAATGTGAAACGCTATCATTCTGTTTGCTTTTCTTTGGCTTCCAAAGATGGAATGCACCATATATAAGTGGGTTTATCAAACTGTTGGACATTCCAAAGAAGAAAATGCCGTTACGAAGATCCTCACCAAGCTGAAAAATTCGGAAAGAAATTAGTGTAATATTAAATCTCTAACACTTCGCAATATAATTGACTTGATGTGCTTATCTCGTAAGTGTTAGATAACTGCAGAAAAGCCAATTACAGGGAAGCACTGTGAACCTTTGTTGAAGATGTTAATGAGCCTCCCGATTACATTAGCGGCAGATACATCTAGCTTAAAAAACTGAGCCTTGATGGATTCAAGAGAGATGTTCTGGCTTTTCAGATCTGTAGTTACTCACGTGTTCGTCAGGATTGAGGAACATGAAGATTATCATCATGATGTAATAAGGTGCCCAGCACACGATGAAAGCAACCACAATCACCACTGAAATTCGCAGAGACTTCATCTTGGCTCGGTGGATTATACGACGTCTGTTCACTTCAGAGGCTACGTGTTTGCCCCCAGTCTCCACTTCAGCTTTGAACATCTTTTCGCTTTCTGCAAAATAACAAGCAGGCATTGGATACAGTTGTGAAGTAAAAATATAAAGTTGTTCCTGTCTTTATCCTTAAAGTGCGCAGACAGCCAAGGTGGATACAACCTGCACACCATAATACGTCATCCTTGAACCAGTTTTCAGATAACCTGATTAAAGAAATTAGTATATTATTTCAGTACGCTTTTAAAGTAATTTTATTTCTGTATTTGTGGCCTTAATACGTATCGACATGCCTTACAGAATGAAGACGCTTATTGTATTCGGGAGTAAATTAAACTCGGGTGATGTAACTACCCAGAAGGCATCCATCTTCATACTCGCTGCAGTGAGAACCCCAATTTCCATGAAATGTGCCCGTCTTTTGAGTTCTTCTGTCACGCAGTGTTTCAGAGAGCCAATGTTGCTTCGCACGTTCGCGCTGACACATGTAGCGATTCGTTGTTGACATGTAGAGAGGTGGGATGACTTGTGCTGGCATGCTAATTATACAATGCTCCATGAAAACCTGTCAGCCGGTTCAAAAGTTGTAATGGGGACACACGGACATGATGACACCGCAAGACTATTTTTTTTTTAAAACAGACTGGAAGCGGGTGACTGCTTCATCCAGTCGACTCTTCATATTCATGTTTTCTCTAATCCAGTTTTTAAATCCATGTTCTGAATTTTAAATTACAGAACTGTTGTTAGCGAACGAACAAGACACGGCCCTATGCACCTCATTCATTACTGCTGTCACATCATGAAGTATTTAACTTCCTAGCAGGCTCCTCTGTAAGACGAGACTTATAATGGGAACCCAGACGGTTTTTTTACAGCAAAACTTTTAATAGTTGAATACTGATTTTTCATACACAATTTTTATGGTAAAAACCTATGCCTACTTGGAAGACCAAGAAAAAGACGTGATGAAAATAAAAGTCTGATGCATAATAATCCCATACTGAATATACGGAACATGACGTGCGCAACACACACTCGTCACGGAAGCGTTAGTGCGGTTTCGCCGTCACTCGTAAGCAACTTCTCCTCCATGTGTGTTAAGCGGGTCAATCTGACTGTCAGGCGCATTCAATTTCGTGAAGCGATGCAATCTCACAGCAAACATCTGCGCCTTTGCGGTTTACTTCGCCAATTTTTTCGGAATCTGTGTACGACAGAACGGCTACATTTCCATTAATTTTGATTTATTAGATCAGTTCGGGTTTTCAGGTTTGGTATAATGTATCTGTCTGTCTCTCTCCTGCACAAGTACCAGTGAATAATAATACTTTTATCACACAATCGTTGGTGCCCTTTTGTTAACGGGTTCTATGAAAGGCGGAGAATTTTCTGACTGCTTGATCGTACTCTCAGCTTCTGAATAATGGCTCTGTCGCATGGTACTGGTTACTTCGTTAGGTTTCCCAGGAGTTACTTCATACTGTAAATGTTAGTGTAAGAAATGGACGAAAGAAGCGTAAAAGAGGACTCACACCACAAAAGCGATATAAACACGCACAAATAAGATTCTCACACGTGGACCGACATATAATGATATTCAACATCAAGCGGGAGGAAATGTAGTCATTCGATATCTGATGCATACAGACAGCATCGGATCATTTCTTATTGACTGAGAGAAAGGGTAAATATTTACGCCTCATGGTTTCTTATGCTTGGGACAGGATTAAAATTGTGGGGAAATACTTATCTTAACGTGCACATTTTCTTTCAGTATATGGAACCCAGTTTGAATTAAAATATCCTCCTAGTTTGCTCTGACCCCCATGAAAGTTGGCGATCACTGTTCTATAAGAATTTTGGTACAAACTACCGGTACGCATGCGTAGTACTAACTTTAACCTCACTCAATATTTTGTAAAAGTTACCATGCTTCAGTAATGATGTGGACAGTGTACTTAGTTGAAATTTTGTTATTGTGCGAAATTTAGTTACAAACAGCAATCTTTGAACTCAGTTTTCTCCAGCAGTGTTACCTGAAGACTTGACACTCTTTAATTTATAGCTGCACAACAAATGAATTATTCTTCTTCCGTTAATTTACTGTTCCGACGCGAACATGTGTTGACATTCTCTAACCACAGTTATCATTTCAGGTCATACATAAATGTCACGAAAGCTGGGCCATGCCACGTGACCCTCAATTGATTTCCTTGCCTCTAGTACGTTGCTGAAAATGTTTTGCCCAGCGACATATATATCTATATAATCCTTTGAATCTCGAAGATTTCGGTTGGTAAACCTGAAAGTAAAATCACTTAAACGATCTAGACGTAGATGAAAGAATATTAAAATCAATCGTGAAGACGTAGGGTGATAGGATATATGTGATTCAGGGTTGGGACGTGTGGTTGGATCTTGTGAAGATAGTAATGAAGTTTCCATAATAGACGAGCAATTAGTTGGTTAATGTAGGAGCTCTCATTGTAGTCTGCTGTATGAACATTCAGACGTTAGAGATTGAAGGGGCATAGTAACACTCACTAATTTGTATTCGTCAGTCGTTATGTCCTTACCCGCTGTGGCACAATGGATTAAACCAGAGGAATGGCGCAGAATCTCGGTGGGTGGACGCATGTTTGGGTAACTAAACGACATTAAAACAGCTAAAAATTCTCTTACAACCTTAGAGAAGCTGCTTTCGGATAACTAAACGACATTAAAACTGTTAAAAAATCTCTTACAACCTTAGAGAAGCTGCTTTGTAGTTAGGGACCAGAAGGCCTTGTTGAGCAACTTAAAATATCAGCCGAGCAATCTGCTGATGGGATTAAGTAAGATTACTGCAGATTAGAATGCCTTTAATTATTAACAGGCTGCTATTAACCTTTGAAGTCTAATGGTAATTATATGTATAATCTACTTTAATAATCTATAAATATTCATTTTTTTCCCCACAGAGTGTACTTATGGGTCTCATATTATTCTCAGAAAAAACATTTGTTATTCCCTTTGACATCATTAATCAATTGATATTTGTAGTGGAGACATGAAATGTTTCCTTTCAGGTAGTATATGAATCTTCAAATACTCTGTATATGACAGATGAACTTTGGCTTCAAGGGGTTCAGAATACGTTTCCCGACATTTAATTAATTATTCTCTATTTAATTTATGTCATATTTCGGTAAATAGTGCAATTAGTGAAGCTGCTTTTCATATTGTATTGTCCTTTATTATGCCATATCTCCCTCAAAATTTTTATCAAACATCCCGTCCTTCATTTTGGGGTACGAAATGTTACACATGTCCTGATAATTTAGTGGTGTCCTTTTGTGAGTACAGTAATGAACATTACTATGGTAATCATTCACCATGAATATTTCATCAGCCAGGTCCCAGCTAATGAGTATAATGCCACTGCTCCATCTTATTTACTAGTTCCGCAAAATTGGGAGGAATTGGAGACAGAACACACCTCACATCGTATTCAGGGTCGAAGAGAGATCGGTAAAAAAAATAGGAAGTAAACAATATGTTTTATACAGTGTCTTTATTTTAAACATCTCTAAACATTTTACCAGCCACAAAAATTATGGTAATCATTCACCATGAATATTTCATCACCCATGTCCCAGCTAATGAGTACAATGCCACTGCTCCATCTTATTTACTAGTTCCGCAAAATTGGGAGGAATGGAGACAGAACACACCTCACATCGTATTCAGGGTTCAGCAAACAGTTTAGTTTTGTGCTCTTTATGAAGGCAAGAGTGGAAAATCCTACTTCACACTCGGTGCTCGGAAACTGCAATAATTACAACACGGCCTCCCCACCTACCACAGGATTTTCATCGTGAATTGTTAACCAGAAAGACTCCAAATGGACCTTTTTTTCTTCAAATAACATTTTGCACTGACTGCTTCACCTAAGCTCCGTCATTTGCTCTGCAAAACCATTAACACTATCGGGGATTTCTATCAAGTCACACAGAAATGGGTGTGTCGTTACCCAAAGAAAAACAACTTTTACTCATTTTTGGGTAATTTACTCAGGTTTGGGAAGCACTGCCTTAATCTTTCACTTCTTTATGCTATAAAAATCACTACATTATATTCTGATTGGTATCTGCACTTTAGTTCCTGGTAGACATTCCCACAGATAGAGGTGATTTTGTGCTTCTATCATCAGTGCCATGAGCACTCATCGTCCTGATGATCGAGGCAACAAGAACCTCTGAAACGTCGGTGAACTTGTACTAGACTGCACAGCGTTACAACCCTATATTGAGCCATCTTCGTACACTCCGCCACGAGAATCTGAAATCCTACTAAGTTTGGGAAAATTTTGGTTGAATTTCTTGTTTTTACCGAGCTTTATGGATACTGACAACAAAATTTGTTAACCTTCCTCTGTTGTAAATTGTCAGATTTTATGAACTCCGGGAGTTCTGTGTCTCAAATGTTCTGCATAATTTTAATTAAGCCGCGCGCGAGCAGTTTTTCACACAGATTTGTGCTGACGTCTCAATACATTAGTCTGTTGCGGAATTCCGAACCAGAAGAAATGTGAGCCCGAACATTTGTGTCGTGTATGGTCTGTTTCAATACTCTTTCCAAATCCTCTTCACTTTTGTACAAGTAAAGTGGATGCGTTCGGCAACGGAAACCAGTAAAGACTAGACACAGTAATTTGATTTCCTTATTATTCAAGCAGGTTTATAAATAAGACTCTGTTATATCTGTATGAATGTGTGAACGTTTGTCTACACATGTGTGTCGAATATATGGCACAAAGACGAGCTTTTAATTAAATTGGTTTCGTTGGCTCAGATTTGAATCTTAATGTACATTCACTGAAACACAGCATTAAAGTAAGACAAAATAGCATTTCTAAACGAACCCAAAATGCAAAGTGTTAGTAAGTATTATGAGATATCTGTTACTACACTATAATACTATTTGAAAACGTCAATTAACCTACAAGACCGGATAGCATCGTAAAAAGTAATGAATTGTCTTTCATTTCACTCAGACTTGACGTCATTTGTAGATAAACAATAACACGTAAAAAGTTAATTGATTCCGAAACAACGTCCTAAGTTGTTATTAATGTTCTTTGAAAGTGTTAATACACTCATTAAATCGAAAATGGATTGGATAAAATGTAATTACAGCGAATAAAAATATTAAATATTTTTAAGAGAAATTCAGTTTTATTATATTCCTTCCTGTGACTGGAATCAAAGCAATGTTGGTTATTAGCTTGTTTGGTTGGTGATAATTTAGTGTTTAGTGATTTTCTGACTTATGAAGGATGTGTGTTGTTACGACCGTTGCCATGGGAGTCTTTTTAAGGGAGGTCTATTATGTGCATGTTCTACAAAGCAACACATTATCGTGATCTCGATATAAGATCATATTTGAGAATGTGGTTCATGAAATAATATTATATTTACTAATTAAGCAAAGATAAGTTTTGAGATTTTCTTTTGTAACGCACAATAAAAAATGTGTTTTTAAATACTGCGTAAATATTTTCCGAAATTTTTGACGGACGACTTTTTTGTGTTTCTCGATGAAAATAAAATTGGCTCAATTAGGTTTAGTATAATGAAAGGGGCTTTTAATGTAGTCTCAAGAGACAACACATAAAGATCCTTAGAGGAAGTCTAATTATCCCGGTAATTGAGTTGAGCAGCCTAATTGAAATAAGACATAAAAGTTGCACTTGTCTTTCGGGCTGTCTCTCCTGTATGAATGTTCCCAGATAGAATCCCACAAGAGGCAGATGTTCTATAGCATTTGAGTCTTTCAAGCCAGACTGATAAAGTAGGAGAAAACATCTCTGATACATGAGTTAAAATTCAAAAGAATAAAAAAGTGCACAGGAAATATCGATAAAAATTTTAGTATATTTTTTAAATCCCTGAAATTAGTTTACAACCTTCCGCCCCCTGTAGCAACTGTAAAGGGTGCTGGACGATTATCACGTGGGTAGATGTCAAAGGGCTAGTTTTATGTTGCCCGTACTTACTGGAGATGGTGATTATAGTAGAGACGTAAGTGGAAATGATAATGAGGAGAGGCAGAATGAACATGCAGACGAGACTGAACGTCGTGTACAGCTGCTCCTGCCATGGCTCTGTGTAGAATCCGAATGTCACGCACTGGTAGAAGTCTTCGTAGAATGGCCCTTTCTCCACGTGGAAGATCACCAACTGCAAACGAAAATTATTCTTAGAAACTGTTCAGAGTCGTCCCTTTTGTTTCGTAAGGGAGGAGTGAGATTTCAGGTTCTCACGGCTGCAGTGACTGTCTTGTGGGTTGTTGCGTCGTGTGGTCTGGTACAAGTTATGAGATGAGAGCCTCTGAAACGTCGGTAAACTTTTATCACACTACACGGCGCAACTACCCAAAAGACACTTATTCACCGTGAACATAATTCATACTGGCTTAAGTGTTTGTCGGTATGGTTGATTGATTAGTCTGTTACGTAGATAGTTTTCTTAATTAGTAATGTATCTAATTAATTTATTAATGACTTAGTTATATTTATTTGGCTGTGTGAGAAATATTTCCATGAAGATGTTCAATGTTTAATTCTGGTGGGTGTAGCTCATGTATGTGGTGAATATTGATTGATCAGTCTTGATAAATTCCTTTACTTGAATGAGTAAAAATATGTGCAACTACAATATATAGTTGATCTTACAAATCCGAATTTTAGGGGGTTCTGTAGCGGATAGCAGTACTAAATATATAATTTTGGAAGCACGTTCAATAGGTAAGAAAGAGATTCTTACTAAAAAGAGGAAATGTCTCCGAGGCTAATAATTCTTTATAAATTGTTCTAGATTGTTTTATTTGAAACTGCTTTTTTTTAGAAACTTCGTCGAAATTTTTTGTTCTAACAGTGGGAAAGAAATTTAAAATTGAATAGAAATAGGTTATAAATATTTTTCATCGCATCTCAAAAGAAAATGAACTCTCAGGAACGGGGTACAAGGTAGATGGTTTATTTTCCAGCTCCGATAACAAGTTCTTTTATTCATTAGTGTAAGAAAAACTTTCAAAACCGCGCTGGTAAGCCTGACGATTACAATTGCAAATTAATTTACTTTCACATCTGCAAAAATGTACTTGGAACATGAAGGTCTCGCTGATTTGAGGAAATGTATGCGGTTCGTAAATTTAAGTCTGCGGAAACCCGACCATTTCGTCATGTCAACCAGTTTTAAGCGGAAGCGTCGGAAAGCTTCAGATTCCCAGGCTTCGGGGGATGTTTAAATCACGAGCCATATGTTAATAACGTCCTCATACCTGCTCCTCCGTGGAATTTATCTTAAAACTCTGAAACACATTTGTTCAGTGATAAATGTGTATGTCACAACATTTGAAAAAAGGGAGTCTGTAAAACACACTAGACAAGCTTTATAAAGTTCATATATTATACAGCACTCGTTGTGAGCAATGACTATTCCCTGACGTAAACTAATAGTCTAATGCATTTATTACATATAGAAGGGAAACCAATGTCCACCCGCCATTATCGTTTTATCTACAGGAATTTTTTATATATAAAATTCGGTACTGGAGTTTACACCAAAAGTTTTTGAGCGAATTTAATTTTGGTTCATACCCTTCTTCACGGTAGTCATAATTTTAACTTTATAAAGTTTGTCAAAAAAGTGTTCATGGTACAAAATGTTAATAAATAATTTAAGACCCACGGTGTTTATATGAAACAAAATTTGATTTCGTAAATAATTAAATACAAGGAAAGCATTTTGTTGCCTGTAGATGGTGATATCTGAAGTGGGATGTGATTACCTTTCAAGTGCAAATTTGTATATACAAGGCCAGCTATTTACGCAGAACAAGAAAGAATTCAATTAGAAAATATTAAGCTGGATTATTATCGAATATGCCCAACGTTTCGGAATGTGCTTCAGATGATTGTCATTGTAGCGACATGTCTTTCACTTGCCCCCCCCCCCCGGTTTCTTTCTATATTTTTGGGGCTCAAACCCAGGATACTTTGAATATTAAAGTTATGTAATAATCACCAGACAGTCTGATGCCACCGAACTTCCGCTCAACAATATGCATTGAATACAAAAACGACATTTGTCACTTAATTGTAGTTATATTTCCAATCCATGATTTTCAATAAAGTTATTATTATTATTATTATTACGTTGTTTATACAAATTACTCAGTGTTGTTAATCAAATGAAAGAGAATGTTACGTACTGAAGATTTAAGTCTAACAAGATAAACAAGAAATTTAAAGATAATTGTGATATCTTCTGGAAAGAAGTTACTTGAAAGAAGGAAAATGAAATATAAGGAAAACGAACGGACCATAAATGAGTAGATTATGACGATGTGAACGAAAGTGGAGCACCCCACATTATGTCCAGTTATAGGCTTTGATATTAACTGCGCTGAAAATCTAGGTTTCACTGCCAGACATCGAGTTATAAGATTTATTTTATTTTTAAAAGTAACGTAGTTTACGAAATTTAGAAATACGACCGAAAATGGCAAGAACATATGTAATGAATGCCATCATATATTATATCCAGATCAGTAATGGACTACAGACTTAGTGCCCGCAGAGAGGGGGGATTTAGGAAAGATTAAAGGATCACTAGCGTCTGCTATCTGAAGCGAGGATTAAGGTAAGAAACCTTGGTAATAATCAGAAGAAGACAAACATTAAAACGGCGTACAAATTCAGGATTATAGGAACCACTGTAAATTACAGTAACCATTGTAATGTCCTAGGGCGACTAATAACCGAATGTCGTAGTTCAGAGCACGATTGCAGCTCGCTTGGAGACGCTCGTTTTATGACGTAGTAGGACTAATACTGTCCGGACAGAAGTGGGGAATCACAAATTCAAAATCCTGCGTCCAACTCACCTTACACCACATTTATACATAAAACATGTTGTAGAACTAGAACTTTCTAAGAATGTAAATTACTCATGAAACGCAGAACTTTAACTCTCTCTTTCGTTCCGCCTTGGTTCTTATTTTGTGGCCTGAAGTTTTACTAACTCCCTTATGATCCCTGTTAATTCTATACAAAATTAGACTTTGATTTTCATCAACAGAAGCATTTGTACGAGAAATTGTTTTGAGGGGCGATTGCGTGAGGAGATTATAGTGAAGTGAAGAGGGTCCATATTTCTAATTTTGGCATCTAATTACACTACTTTACACAATAAATACATTAAAAATGAAAGAAAATATTGTACTATAGCCCCGAAGATAGGGGCAGTATGTTCCTCCGAAACGCTGGTGTGTGCTTACAAGTCCACGTGGCGTTATTGCCCAGAAGGCAAACATCGACTCTCTCTTGTTAACTTTTGAACACATTTACATTTATATATTTATTTATTTACTACTTTTTAATGTGTTGCCCGCGCCTATGTTTAAAACTGGCTCGTGACCCTAAGAACAAAGTTGTTACTGGCAGAAAAGAAAACCACAATTTTATACAAACGACAAGTAGACCAAGAAAGACCTTATACTTTCTATTCGAAACCTGAGAGCTTCGCGCTAATGCCATATTCTTATTTTTCAACGTAAATATAACTTGTATTTAAATGTTGTAACGTTCCTTCGTACAAAATGTCGTATGTCCTAGGTTCATTCAATAATATTTTAAGAATTTATAATTACATTTTCCGTGTAAATGAATCAAATGATGTTATAAAAATAGGAATTCCTCCCCCAGCATAACATTAAGGGGCTGCAATAAATTTCGTTTGCATTCTGCATTGAAATACAGGAAACCGAAGCCAAGCGAATGGCAGAACTCCGTTTATAGTCGCAGTGCTTTATTTGATTACAGACTCTTTAAAGAAAGTGTTTGTATTTTGTTTTATTTGCATACCGCTATGTGAACTCCAAGCGTACAATTTTAAATCACACTACAGACGAATATATCACGATTTCCAAATATGAAATTACAAGAATCTTTCTACTGACAGTGATAAGTGATGAAAATATTTTAGAACAGGATGGAACAATGGCTCTAAACAAGTTATGTGCTGGTTGACAGAAAATGTTAAACACACCGGAGATGAGAAACATAAACTCGATATTTCGTAGCAAAAAGCACAGTGAAATAATTAAACTACAGAAGATAATATAACTTGAAAACGAAAGATCGACACGAGACGTTATCAAAGAGATCCTCGTATTGTGAACGAAGAAATTGTTCCAGTGTCTGGAAAATAAAAGACCCCACGTTTTTCTTACACCTCACTTTTTTGTGTACGTAATTATCTGAATCAATGATTCTGTAAATTAATAATGATAAGTTCTGATACGTCTTCCAATCTAATTGATGGATTTATGGAACTGGAATAACAATTACGAGGAAGTATACAGAAATTAATTATTTTATTCCTCGATAATTGTCTTTTAAGCTTCCAATATAAAGGCAATAGACGCAGTAACATGTGAAACTGACAAGTGGGACAGAAAATTAAAGGCATCAATGCGTACTTTGGCGCAAATATGTATTGTAACAACCATCTTTACGCTACACTCGCTGGGAAAAATAGAGTATACAAGTGAACCTCACTCGTAGCATGTCGCTCTATGACCTTGAACTACAGTATGACAAGGCCTAAGCAATGTTGCTAATCATATAAAAGTATTATAATAGTGTCCTTGCTTTCTAACTTCCCTTCGAAATAACATACTGACTTCACTCCATGGAGCAAAGTTCTTCTTGAGTAGCTGGTAGTCGCTCAGGTTATGAAATTCCTTGTATTTTATACAGCCCGAAGCTTCATAACCGTTTGTTGACGACAGCTGGTTATAATATTATAACAGATGGCAAAGGTAAATGAGGTAGGTCACGAATCAGTTAGTTAAAGGACCCAGACTGACAATATGAAATAACAGTAAGACGTAAGATGCAGAAGACCGATGTCATAATTGATGTCATCTCAGAATCACGTACATTTTTAAATTACTTTATTCCATAAGAGTGAAGATACTTGTGTTTGACATAAAACCAATTCAACACAATTCATACGTAATTACTGTGTGGGCCTACCTGTAAACTTTCGAGGCATCTGGCACATCCCCTGCCCATTAATGAGCGAGTTTTAATGGATAACTGACATCAACAACAATTTTCGCATTTAATTCCACTGAGAGAACGAATTTTATTACGAAGCAGTGGCCTGCT